CTAGAATATTTCCAAGTTTTCCTGCAAAACGTGGCACATGAACAGTTCATGTGGTACAGTACCAGAGAGTGCCTAAAACAAATCCTGAAAGGCACATATTCTCTGATTTAATTTATATGGCAAGCCCACTTGCAGATATCAGCTCTTATTCAAGCTATTCTACTGCAAATAAATGCCTTAGGAAATCATTTATATCAGACCTCTGAAGTTATTTGAAAACAAAGCAATTTACACTCTTGTTAAAGATGAAGCTGTCTTAAAGGAAGGTGTAGACTCCTTGAAACTAAGTACAGGGAAACCAGGAATAAAGGTAGATGGAGGAATATATATGCATTTGTACTATTTTTGGTTTGTTTTGAATGCTTAAGTTTAAATTCTCATTTTTCTTTTGGGAAGTTTAGGTAGCAATCAAAAGAATACATAGAGACAGATTATATCCAGTTTTTACAGCAGTTTTCAGAAGTGTGACCAGTAGAAGTCAGGCAGATGCCAGAAGCTGTGTCAACAGAGGTGGGGGGGCAGGTGGCAAGTGGTGACCACCTGCAGAAGCTGGTGTCCTCCCGGGGGCCCCGGGCCCTCTGCCAGCTCTGGGCTACTCCGCTACAACCTGCTGTAGTCCCAGGTGCATGTGTAAATGCTGCACCTGGCAGCAGCTGACTCTGGCACTTCCTGGCAGAGTTTATCACATCACCCTCATTGCATGTGTAGATGCACCCCTGTTAGATAACACTAGTTCACTTTAGGGTAAAAAAAATTTCCAGGCTCTTATGTTTAGTCCCCAATCCACTGGTGTTATGAGGCTTCCGCACCGTCTGTGCAATCCATAGAATTCTTCTCCTTGGTAGAAGGAGGGATTTTATTTTAGTGTGTTTAAGGCCTATTCTAGGAATGAGTTACATTCAACTCAGTTAATAGCTTTCATGAACGTTCTTTGAGACTTTTAAGTGTTTTGCTAGTTCAGTCTGTATTTTGTATTGGCTTTCTGCATTAAATCTTCTTCAGTGTAGTTAGAATATTTACATTTTCACTTCCACGTGAGGTGTCTGCTGATGGGCTGTAATAGTGCAGAATGCAAATGACTGTATGCTTACTTTACATACCGTAAATAATTGGTACAGAGCATTTGACAGGGCACTGTTGGTGCCTGCCACTTTAAGTTCTAGAGCAGGCAGCAACCAGGTGCTTGAGTACAGCAACCATATTGAAACCCAGGATATATATAGATTGAAGCAGCAGTTTGCTGCTGCAGCTGTAAGAGAGACATCAGCTGGTGGAGCTGAGGCTTAGGAACATCTTGGAAGTTTATGGGCTGGGGCTTTGGGGATGGAGGAGGCCGCTGGTCTGGGCATGACCTAAAACTGCACCCTGCTAAGGATGGGTGGCCTCGTGGGGCTCCTGGTGGTGTGGGAACCCTCAGGAAATGTCAGGTCAGATACACCCTGGTGAAAGGCGGGTTGGGGCACCTTAATAACCCCAGCTCCCACAAGTGGGTGGGTAACCCCGTAGTAGGTCCCAAGAAGGCAGACCCATATAAGACAGTGTGGGCTAGTTACTCAGAAGCCTGACTTGAGGCACCCATGATTGGTCAGTGCTAGGGCCAGGACCAGAAGGGTCACAAGGGCCAGGGGCCCACTGTGAGGGACACCCAGAGCTGAGGACCTGGGGTTCTGACTGGCCTTGGAGGTGAGGCCAGGGCCTGTGTGGCCAGAGGTCCCGGGAGGGCCACACCTGAGGGGGGGAGGAGTGCAGGGAGTTTGACAGCCCAGAATGAGGGTGGAGTAGGTCATCTGATTAGGAGGGATCTAGTTGGGGTCCAGAATAGAGGGTTATGGGACCCACTGTGGGGCTGAAGATGTTAAGAACTTAGATGCCATCTACAAGGCATGGGCTGCGGTGTAGAGAAGGTTCAGAGCCGCAGATAGCGCCCCTGGCATCAGGGAAGGAAATGGGAAGCCTCCTGCCTAATTAACACCATAATTATGTATCATCAAGGCATGGCAGGTGAGAGAGGTGGGCGGTTATCCCAGAAATAGGTGGGTAGGCCAACTTCTAACTGGCCCAGGAAAGACCCCCTGTTACAGAGCATATTGCACTAATTTAGAACAGGAGTATGAAATGGAGCATTTATCCTATATTGATCAATACCATGAGTTTCATGCATGGAATGTCTGTGGTAGACTTGTATCTGTTACTAAGGGTTTTCTTTTCTGTTCTTTCCTTTTTTTTTAATTGACTCTCTTTGCTCTAAATTTAAGGGTCACTAGTGATCTTGGTGGATTACAGAGAATTTGATTCTCTTTTAACTTATTCTGATGTTATACTGGCCTAAATGTTCAATAGAATTGCACCAGTATGAAGCAAGAATTGGTCTAATTGCCTCTGATCCAAGAGATCGCAGTCCAGATATGTCCAAAGTATATTTTGTCTCCTGTTCATTTGTATTAATGTGGCATTTTAAGGGCCAGATTCTGTTCCACGTTTTAGGTGTCTCAAGTGTGATTCTATAACATCCTGCAGAAATCCTGAAAATACATTAATTAATCTGCTTCTGTAACAAATCATCATCTTGCCCTTAATACTGAGTCACAGAAAACAGCAAGGAAGAGGAGGACCGCTTATGCATCTGTGTGGTGAACTAGAATCTGAACCCAAGGGTCTATAGCCATGATAATGTCACCTGTGCACCTATTTTGGCCACTAAAGGCTTTCTCTTTCCATATGTCATAGGGCTGCTGTTGAGGTTGATTCAGGGGCTGTAACATCTCACAGTTTTAAGAAAGGACTGTTTGTGCTCTCTGGAATTCATTGTCTCTTTCCTGGTCCAGTCATAGCAGGGTATCTTAAAAGAACTGTGTAAGACTTGTATTTGCACAGGAGTTTTCCTGAAGGGATTTGAAGTTTTTCTTTGTAGAGAGAGTCTTTTATTGCAATTTTACTTCTTTAAAAGAAACAAACTTGTTCTAAAAAAGTTGCATTTGTCTAAGAGTGTTTTGATTTAGTGTGTTATTACTAATTTAAAGAGTTAATGTAATAGAAACTGAATGAAAGAGAAACTGCATATTAGGGGAATGTAGCAGTGTGGAAGAGGCAACTAGATTAGAATGACACCCAAAGCTCCAAGCACCTATAAGGGGATTGGAGAGACAATGTTCTCTCACCACAGATTTGCCTGTTTAGCGGGTTAATATTTAAGGGGAATTAATTGTGGCCTTACAAGTAATCCTGATGAGATCTAAGGGTCTAATCTCTGTTCTGTCCCAGATTTCCTATATAACCACAAGGAAGTCCTTTAATCAATTTGTCTTTGTTTCTCCATCCCTAAAACAGGGATACTAATACTCCCTTACCTCACAAAACATTGCAAGAATAAATTAATTAATGTTTTTATCCTTGTGGATATCACTGCAAGTTTTCACATTTTAAAACGTTGGTATGGAAGGTTTTATGGGTTCACCTCTAAGTTAGGTTTCGTAAGTTTCCTTTTTAAAGGTAGAACTTTAAGTACATTAACATGTACCAGCGTTAAATATATGGATAGGGTGGCCATTGGTTCTGTTTTACAGTGGACTGTCCTTTTTTAAAAACCTTTGTCCCCTGTCCATTTCTAAATGAGGAACAGACTGCCAAAAGTCCTGTTTTCCAATTCATTGGTGGAAATACATGTCAATCATTTGTCCTCACAATTATTGGCTGTGCCTAGAGGTAGGGCAGTACACAGCCAGGAGGAGCAGGGTTCCCAGCCAGGGAGGGTGGAAAGGGTGGCCCTGTCCCTTGCTGCTGATTGGCTGAGGAGGTGGCAGCCCATCCCTCACTGCTGATTGGCCAAGGGGGCTGCTCCTCACCCAGGGTATATTTCAGGGATGCAGCAGTGTCTATCCATCCTAGACATGGATAACATGTTTAGGTGATATGTTCTAAAGTGCAACCCTTCTTTCTGAGGAAGAAAGTAAAATAAACAGGTTATGTTGGCCCTCCTGACCTAGAGTTCTCAACTTAGCCATGCAGGGATATAGGGTGTACTACATCTCATTTTTTCTATGTATCTTTTCTCAGCAAGTTCACTCTAAATTTGAAATGCACCAGGCCTCAAGAAATTAATGGAGATCCAGATAGAACACAGTGTTGTCCCCTGTAGCTTTATCTAAAGTAGGAGTGCCTAGCTGTGGATTGGAGGCCATATATGACTCCTGAAAAAGTAGTTAAACAAAAAATTATTTTTTTAAACTGTAGGCATGCACACCTTGAAAGTTTTTTGTCCCTGGGCTTTAAGCCACAAATTTGGTTTGCAGCCTGAAGGGTTAAAAAATTTGGCTACCCCCAGTTTAAAGAATGAAGATACACAAAAAACCCCAAAGTGACTGGCTGAGTGATTATTAGGTAATAAATTAGAGGCAAATTCAAACTAAGGTTGCTTGTCTGTCTATTAAAAATTCAGTTCTGCTGAGCTCTGATTGTTGTACTTCTTTCTCTAGTTTTATTTCTTAAACGGGAAGTTATCCGCCCTAGCAAGTTCATACTGCTGTCCATTACCTTAATATCTCAAGTTTTCCATGTAAAATCACCTTTTTCCTTCCTCTAGAGCTTACATGATAAAGCATTTCATAATAATTTATATAAAAATTGAAAATGTGAACACAAAAATAAGTGGAAAATATATGCCCATAATTTTATAGCCTCTCTTATTCAAATGAACAATAGTTTATATTGTAGAGAATTTTTTTATTCATACATATTTTAGCTGATAATATTTTGGAATCCAAACAGTATGCTGTCATTTATTTACTTGAATTATGATTATATGCCATCATTGTTTTGATACAGGACCACTCATTGTAAGGTCTGTCTGTAATTGAGAATGATGATTATTAGGTATTACTGGTTAACTAATGATAGTGCTCAGCTCTGTATAAACCAGCTTGCTTAGCTTGTGCAACACTTTCATGTTTGAGGTCTGCAAATACTGTGATTTAATCATGTCTCCTTATTGGATGTCTTGCAGGTACAGGAGAAAGTGGCAAAAGCACATTCATCAAACAAATGAGAATCATCCATGGTTCAGGATACTCTGATGAAGACAAAAGGGGTTTCACAAAATTGGTGTATCAGAATATATTTACAGCGATACAGGCTATGATCAGAGCTATGGATACGCTCAAAATCCCATACAAATATGAACACAATAAGGTGAGATATATTTTTAAATACAGAGCTGTAAGTTTTTCACTTTTATTCCGGGAAATGTCCTGAAGGGCTTTTACATTAATGTGGTTGCCTTATGGTATTTAAATTATGCTGTACTGAAAATTCAGATTAAAAAATTTCTTGTAGCTCTTGACCCATGCCTTGACTTCAGCAGTGCAAAAAAGATAGAGAATTCACTTGACATAGGGAGGCTTCTTGTGCAGGACATGAGCATTGTTGTGGGATGGATGTTTGATCATGACAGCTTCCCTTGTTTTCTACCACCTCATGTTCTGCACAAGGTAGATCTCAGGTATACCTGAAGATCTGCCCAGGTATATTTAACATAATGACAGAAAAAGCTTTACTTATAAATATTATTAAACAAGTTATGTTTGTTGGCGTAAGTTACTTAAATTTTAGTTTTTATGTTGTATATCTGTGATTCTTAACCAGGATGCTACAGCATTCTGGGGTGCCTTGATATCTTTTCAAGCGTGTCCTGGGGCACCACAAAATGGTAGCACTGTTAGGTGTCCAAGAGATTTCAAAGAGGAATCCAATCCATTTTGACCTGTTTGGCTTTTCTGAGTTCTTTCCAACAGAAAAACAACTAATTTTTCCATAGTCAAAACAAAAAAAAGGGAAAACTAAGAATTAGCATTATCTGAGGGGTGTCTAATAAAGGGTGCCTTGAGTCTAAAGAGGTTGATGACCAGTGTTACATATCTTTCAGAAAAACATACTAATAGTAAATAAGAGCAAGTGACTATGAGACTATTGTTAAATCACTTTTCGATGCGAACCAGCAAAAGCAAACAAATTTAATTGAGGTTGATGACACCATTGCAATTTAGGCCATAGGGGCATTTATACACATGCCCTGGGATGGAGGGGTGGGGCGCTTTGAACAAGCTTTAACTAAAGTGCTCCTGCCACCATTTTTCAGTGCAGCATGCTGATACACGAGAGTCTGGAGTCTGCTGGAACACGGTAATTACCATGCTCTAGCGGATTCAATTAATCGAGTCTGCTTGGTAATTACAGTGTGTTGGAGCAGCCTCACTGAATGTGTATAGGTGCTCTTGGTGATTAACTGAACAAAAGCATTTGTAAGGTTTATCTTTGAATAACTTGGTTTCTCTCCAATGTTTTTTGGGGAGAACTTACTATTTAAGCATCAGAAGAAAAAAAAATATTCATATGTAATATAAGTAAGTTGTTATAAGTTATAACTAGGTTATAACTTAGGTTATTTAAATATATATATAATATTATATATATATAATAATAATATATAAATATTTTTAAAGCAGTAAGAAGTCCAGTATCCATTTGTACATAGGTTTAAAGAACAGAACTGGGTCAGGACACTTGGCATCAAATGCCTCTGCCTCTCATTGACTCTCAGTGGAGTGGCACATTTCTGTTTCATTGGCTTATTATGCGACTTTGAGCAAGTCTTATAAGCAGGGAGAGGTCAGGCTGCCAAATAAAGTAGGGAAGATTATATTTGTTTATATTTTATACATTTAAAAATATTTGAATGAAAGTATTTTATCCAAATACATTATTATTGAAATGCGTAAATACAGGTTGGTTGAAGTCTTTTTAAAATATTTTTTTTCATTCTCGTTTCTGTAATAGTACATAATATCTCTTTATAGCTGTTGCAGATAGCATAATTTTCAATTTTACTACTCCAGTAATAAGAAATACAATGAAATGAATTGAATTTATCAAATTTAATTTATTCATAATGTACCTAATCTGCCATGGATTTTTTTTTTTTTACAAACTCTCAATTAACGTTTTGTTATGGAGTGATCACAAGTTTTGGTCCAAAAAGTTTTTGGGTGTGTTTTGTTGTTTTCTCCTAAAGTACAGGCTCACTTCTCTGGGAAGCTTTTGAAATCAGTCACCTGTCCTTATGGTGATCTGGTGCAAAAATGGGATTATGTCTTACCCGTCACTAAAATACTCTGTTACTGTAGTATTTACTGTTGAAACATTAAAAACTGTCAAAGAACTAGGAAATGCTTACTTAAGTGTGTGCATTAATCATATTTAACAGTACTATATGCAGTAATTAGTTGTTCTATATGGTGGCAGGTGAGACAACTGCTCTTTGTTCTCTCAAGTTGCAGCAGGGGAAATTTAGGTTAGATATTAGGAAAAGCTTTCTCATGAGGAGGTTTGTAAAGCACTGGAACAGGTTACCCACAGAGGCTGTGGAATCTCCATTAGAGGCTTTTGAGACCCAGCTAGACAAAGTCTTGGCTGTGGTGATCTAATTCGGAATGGTCCTGCTTTGAGCAGAGGTTGGACTAAGTGACTTCCTAGGGTGCACCCAAATGAGTACACACATGCAGGCACTTGCATTTGCTGCAGCAAAAATAGCAGCAGCACAAATTTGTGCCGCTGTGCACGCCCCTGCATGTGGAGTTTGGTGCAGGGCAAGCTGCCCTGCTTTGGGGGAAACAGCCATTTCTGTGCTCCTACTAGTTCCTGGTGTACTGGAGGAGATGGGGAATAATTACAGAAGGGGAGGTGCTTTAGGTAGCAGCCAGAGTGTCTCCCTGGGGGACCCAGCCTCTGTGTCTGCCACACCAAGCCACTTTTTTTTTGCAGTGTTTTTATTTTATACCAGCAGTTTCCAGTATCAGATTTTGGTGTTGTGCTGCATATTTGCAGTGCAGTGAACAGTTGCACATGTATCATGTGTGGTTTGCCGCACCTCAAACAGCTTTGAGGCTCTGCAAACCATGTGTGTGCACACCTGGACATGCCCCAGGGTCCCTTCTAACCCAAACTGAACCTATTTTCTATGTAAAAAGAACCCATCTTTCTGCTTTCAGATTCCCTAAAGTCATGCCAGCTGGGTCTGTTTCTCTTGTAATGCCTCAAGCAAACATCATGATGCATTTTCTTTAAAGTGCCATTAATTGTGTAGAAAATAATTTTAAGAGACTTTGAAAAACTGCCAAGTAGTATAAGTCCCTTGCCTGGTTCTATGATAATTCTGTCTACTATTTTCTGCTAAGAAATTGAAAGCAAAAGGAGAAATTATTAGGGGTTCTTATTATGTGTCAGACTATTTACTATGTATTTTTAAAGTACATTTAAAAGCTGAAGTTTTGATTTGCAGCTTTTAAGAAGTTTAATACTTCCATGCATCCTGGGATTTTTTTCTTCCAAATCTCTTAACCCCCACCCCTCCAAACTGCCAACTACTAGTAGTGGTCATTTTATTGTAGCACCAAAAAGACCTGATCAGACCAGGACCCCATTGGACATAAATCATACTGCATTGCTGTATAATATATATACATGGCTCTTAATCCACAGTAGACTGAGTCATGTTTATTGACTTGTTTTTAATATTTACAAGTAGTTTAGGTCAGTTAATTTGGAACTAGCATGACTGGCTAATGTAGACCAGAACTTGGAACCTGGGCTACTGTAAACCATAATACTATCTAAGTTGTGTCTGTTCTAGTTAAAGCTCTGTCTGTTTTTAATGGGTACCATGCTCTTCTTTAAAATCCGGATGCCTTTTAAGAATCGACTTCTGTTGAGTAAGCCTTATGTTGAATTAGTGGCTTACTTGACAAGTGCCCTCATTGACTTTTTACTTGGCAACAAGTGGAGTAAATTACCTATTAAGTCTCTCTTAAGTGTATCTGAATCTAGTCCTAAATTATAGGGACCGGCACAATTTTCTTAAACTCCCTAGAGCTAAAAATACAAGGGACAGTGATGGGGTTATAAAAAACATGCCTAAATGTTGTTTTCTGATCTCTCTAGTAACTTTTGTCTTTTATACTGTAACACTTTGTAGGCACTGTTGCTTTAAAACACCACTCAACTCTAATCAGTTGGTCCTCTGTGTTTAAGTCTGTTAAAAACAAGCTTATTACCCTCGCAACCTAGAGAACACAGGAAGGGCACTTCCTATTAATTTGAATCTCGTATCAGGAAATCCTATCTCTGTAAAGAATATCTTGAAGTTTGTGTAATTGCATATTTTTAGCACACTACTTGTTTTGCACATTAGTTTTGAAAGTTCTGCAACTCCAATCCATATTAATATTTGTTGTGCCTAAAAATTGGTCTGTAGAATGGCCTTAATTCATTTTATACACTGCTCTGTGCATGTCCTTTCACAGCATCTGATGAAGTGAGCTTGGGCTCAGAAAAACTTATGCTCCCACTCCCTCTCCTTTTCCGACTCTACAGTGCAAATCTACCCTGTACAGTGCGGATCTTTCCGACTCTGTACAGTGCAAATCTATCCTGCTTTCTTATTCATTAAGTACAGAAGACTACAGTTTATATTACAGTACAACAACAGGCATTGTTCTGCACCAATAGTTCCACCACTCATTGTTCAGAAGGCTCTTAATTGCCCGGTGTTTTGGACCTCTTACTGTTTCTGGATATTTCAGTGAATGTAATGGCAGAAAGTGGGCTTCCAAACCTCCAAGTCCACCTAAGTATGAGCCCTTATTATGGTAATCTGTGAGACTGATTCTGGACTGGATTAATGTATAGGTATTATGTTTTATGAGGGCTACTTGGAAGAGATAGCTAATGCAGAACATGACAGCCTGCCTGTTAATCAGTGTTAGATACAGGGTACGTTGTGTTGACTTCTTAGTCACTTGCAGATAAACATAAAGATACTGAGTCTGATCTACAAATTTATACTCTAAAGGTCTTTAATGTTTGAAATGCTCAATGTCATAATGGTGGAAGTAAATTGAGGATCTAATAGTACCTAGATTGAAATGCCTGAGAGCCAATAATAGGACTTTGTCATGCAAGATATTGATTCCAGGGTTTCTTTTCCTGTCAGACTTTTAGAATACAAGTTCTGCTGAGGCTTAAGATAAAGGGTGAAGCTTATCTCTTCTCTCAGGAATTTGTTGGGCATGGAGGATGGTGGTTTATTGCATGGTGTTTACTTTGTTTTTGGAGTAGGCTTATTGTGTTCTCTCTCT